GAGGCACTGGTCAATAATCTCCTGCCTCCACTGACAGTTCTTCTGAGAAGTGTACAGCTCTGAGCCGTTCGGAAAGAGCTACACATGCCACAATGCAGTGTTTGATCCAAGACACGAGTTATTTGAAGCTGAAAGCAAAACCAACCAACCAACAGTCAAATACTCAAAACCTCACAGACTCATAGAATGGTTTAGGTTGGAAGGGACCTTTAAAGACCATCCAGTCCAACCCCCCCTGCTGTGGGCAGGGACATCTTTCACTAGATCAGGTTCCTCAGAGGCCCGTCCAACCTGACCTTGAACATTTCCAGGGATGGGGCATCCACAACTTCTCTGGGCAACCTGTTCCAGTGTCTCACCACCCTCATCATGAAACATTTCTTCCTTATGTCCAAGCTAAATCTGCCCTCTTTCAGTTTATAACTGTTGCCCCTTGTCCTGTCAGGACTACAGGCCTTGGTAAAAAGCCTCCCTACATCCTTCTTGCAAGTCCCTTTTATATATTGAAAAGACACAGTAAGGCGTCCTTGGAGCCTTCTCTTCTTCAGGGATTGCCCTGACCAAGGTGCAGGACCTTGCACTTGACCTTACTGAACTTCAGGAGGTTCACATGGGCCCACGCCTCCAGCCTGAAGGTCCCTCTGGATGGCATCCCCTCCCTCAAGTGAATCAACTGCACCACTCAGCTTGGTGTCATCCACAAACTTGCTGAGGGTGCACTTGATCCCACTGCACACACCACTAATGACGGTATTAAATAGCACTGGTCCCAGTATGGACCCTTGAGGGACACCACTCATGTCAAAACAGTTATAAGGAAGACACCATTAACAGTGTTAGAGAAGCAACATCCAGAGTTCAGCGCTGGGGGGGAAAGTGCAGTTCTGCAAAGGGCAGAGATCCTTGCTGGAAGGGAGCGTGCCGAGAAGCTGCTTGCCCCTTGCTCACTCAGGGTGGCAGCACAGCAAAGCCAGAGCAGACAGGAAGCTTTTCAACTTTCACCCCTGTGCTTGACCTGTCAGTAAAAGCTTCCTGTACATCGGATCGAGTAGCATCAAAACACTAGCGCAAACATGGAGTCTACGTCTGATCTGTGCGGAGTCAGTGAGCTCCTACTGAAATGGATGAGAAAGCCCCCATTCCCTGACAATATCCAGGGGGAAGAATGGGGCAGGCGAAAAAAGTCTCTTGGCTTTGGAAGTGGAAGGAAACAGTTGAATAGCACCTAGCACCTGTCATTTCATGGAGAATAAAATCTTTGGGTCCAAGGCCACACTGGTGAGAATCAGCATTAACAACCCCTGGAGGCAAGAACAATGAAGAAATTTCTGCCACCTTTGTGAGGGGTGATTTCACAGCACCGGGGAAGGTTCTGTGCTGTTTCCAGAGCCAAAGTAGTCCCACAATCTAAGACCCATTTCCAAGGGGAGCATCCTCCTTGTTATTCCAGTGTAACAACCCAGATTTGAGAGCTGATGTCCAATTCAGTCAGCATCTGCGGGGAGCAGGAGGGAGACCAGGCTAGTCCCATCTTATCACTTCATGGTAAAGATCCCTGTTACAAGAACAGAAAAACACCTGGTTATTCACAGTCCTTTGGGCAAAAACCTGGTTTGACTTCGGTTTGTGCAAAGTGGAGGTAAACAACCAACACCAGAAGATTAGTATCTTAGCATGAGTGCTCAGTGTCCTTGGCAGCAGAGGAAGGACAGAGACCAGTGCATCACTATCAAAAGAAGCCATCATCTTCTCAAATTAGGCTGTGCAACTATCCCTGCAGTCAAGAGCCTTCATGCCTGATTGCGAGGAAGGAAGATGAGGGGAGAGTTCTGCTGCTTCAAGGCAGACTGAAACCCCAAGCATGTGGCTGACCAGCAGCAGGAACAGCTGGGAAAAAGCTACCCCCAGTGGGGAAAGCTCTAGAGGCTAGAAACACAGGGCAAGAAGGCATTTCTCCCTCATGCACACAGAGCGCATGGGGTGCGAGAAACTTACCCTTCAGGGAAATGAGCCCGTCTGGCTCTTGTCAGGCATCAGCTGTTCCCTGGATGCTTTTTCAAGACTGAAGATGTCAGATCTGCTTTTGGCTTTGGACAGGCCCCACACAGCAATAGAACCCACAGCTACCAGGATGCTCAGGAGCACTAGAGAGGAAAGTGCACAGGCAGAGAACCACTCACTCCACCTGGTCTGGACATCAGTACTGGGCTCTGTTGCTCAACAGCATTAGCCACCAGGTAGAGATCAGCAGCTTCCCTCAAGGATAAGGGACAGAGAGAGAGGAAGTGAGTTAGTGCCAGATCGCATGGAATGGCCTTTCCAAGGTCATAGTGCGTCCAAGTCAGAGGAATGACTAAGCTGTGGTGTAAGGCCTCCCCCAGCCCTCCCAGCCCAGTGAAAGCAGCTACTGATACAGGTCTGGAATTAACTCCATCAGGATACCCAATTTATAGCCCAAGCCAGGACCAAGACCATGTGCAGCCCTCCGAGTCTCACACACCTGCAATAATCAAGATCCATCTGCGGCCTTGACTCCTCGATGGCACAGAGTCCCCAGGCGCAGGCGTAGCTGAAGTCTCTGCGAGGAAAGAGCAAGAAGTCCATCAGGCTTCCAACTCACTTTACGGTCAGCATTCAAAGCAGTCTCCAACCCAAACCTGGCTGAGTTCCCAGTTCACCTCAAGAGTGCCAACAGGCCTTTTTCAATTTAAGCGAAATCTTACTGGCCGTTACTGTGATTATTCCACATCAGAGGAAAAAAAGCCCTACTGGAAATGCATAACAAGGAAAGCTGGGAAATTTCCCAGCTGTAGCTGCAGCATCCTAACCTCTCCTTGTGGCACTGGGAAGCCCCAGGTACAACCAAAATGCAGCTCATCTCCCCACCTACCAACTGCACTGGTGCAGGCATCAAATCCAAATACAGTCTCTCATGCCTACAGTAATCCCCCTATTCTCTGCATCCACGGTGCTTCAGCTCCCAGACGCCACAGAAACCCCCGGGGTAAGGGAAGCTGGAGCAGCACCTCAGACAGCCACAGGTCTGCGACAAAGAAAGCTCCAGAGCATCTCGGAGCAGAGCAGCAGACACAAACAGTCCTGGGGATGCACACACCCTTCAGCTTGACAGGTACCAGTATCTGCTGCTCTGATCCTGCCCGCATGGCCCAGAAGCGCTTCCCCCATCCTCTTCCCTTCAGCTTGTCGGTTCCCCAGAGATCAGAGGAGCTCAGAAGGGTGGACAGAGACTCCAATGTCACTGGCTTGTTGGAAGGAAGCAGCCAGAATTGCATGTTCTGGAAGAAGGTACTTCAAAGGCACTTCCCGAGGGAGCCCATGGATGTTTAAACGCCATCTCCACAGGAGGAAGCTCAAGGTGGGGCTAACCCTACAGTGCTCCCTCTGCCCAAAGCAAGCTGTGAGGAATGCAACTGTCTCAGAGAGGCTAAAAACGACAGAGATGAAAGGCTTTAGTCTGTTTTATCACCCCCGGAGTACGGCCGCCGCCATCCGCGGCTCAGCCCGCCGTTGTCGTCGTCCC